TGTTCCTCCAGCCCCTCCCATCCTTGCGTACACAGCACACACACACTGTCTCTCTCATCTCGTGGATGGGAATGGCCAGCGTGGATTAATTAATTTCATCATATTTCTGTCAGATTTGATTTCAACAGCGGCGGTGGTGTCTTGCTGTTCTTTGCACATATTTCTGCCAGATTTGATTTAATTTCATCCTTGCTATTCATAATCTATTAATTAATGACCTGTACATACATATTTTATCATGTCTACTAACAATCTCGTCAGTTTACAGTTCATACATCGGGTTATTTTATCCTGTTTTCTTCAGGTTTGATTTAGGGTGTTCTTTTTTCCTTTTTCAGATGTATGCCATATGTGTAGCAATCGTTCTAAAACACCCCCATTCCTTCTCTTCCTATCAATTTAATCAGGACCCACTCTGGACCATTTTCAGAAACCACTCTAAACCATTTTCTGAAAATTGATAGGAAGAGAGTGATTTTCATAACAGCGGCTGCAGCCCCCAGGGTTAATTAGAACCTAAAATGTTTCCTTTAGTTTATGAAAAAGGTCTAGAGTGGTTTCTGCAGCTGCTGTTATGTTTCATTGATTCAGTCCTATAGTTGGATAGTTCCAGTGGATTTTACTAAATGGTTTTGTAGATTTAATTAGTGAAAAGGCCTCAATTGGTTTATGCAACATTGCTTGTCTGCTGGCAGTTGGAGCATACTAGGTAAATGGGCCTTGCCGTGAGTCGTGGTGCAACAGTGACCTCGATTGGCAGGGCAATGGTCAGATACGAGTCAGCACCAAAGATGACTGTAAGCACTCAAAAAAGTTTACCACGCTAGAGCTATGTCAGGTGCCTACTGTTCTTTTGTGCTTTTTGTTTTCTATTTCCCGTCAGAAGCTCATTCCATAATCAATTTGCAGGTTGTACGGGGGCAGTTAATGAATATACTTGTGACACTTATACTCAGGTAAATTACTAATCATTCAAATCACTAATAATCAGGTAAAGCACAATAATAAGCCCACCAGTCATAGAAGAGGAAAAATAACCACAAAGTGAAAATAGATTGTGAAAATTAGATGGCTCAGACGATGTAAAAGACAGAATCGGACGACCAGCGAGTTTTCAATCTGGGGGAGCTCGGAGTAGCCGAGTTGCCCAGCCAGATTAATTTTTATTGGGCATTCAGATTCTTATTTTGCGTTTCGTAGATTTTTAGCTGGGTGTATAAACATACACACGCACACTGACTTCAGATTTCAGTGACGGGGGTAAATTATTGTGCCATATGTATTGTTGCCATATTTAGTAATCATGCATATACATGTACATTGGTTTTTATCAAATGTACATGTGCTCCTGTAGCATATCTTCAGGTTTGGGGATTTAAATGCCCTTTGTTTTGTGTACCAGGTGGTTAACTGAGATTTTGTTTGCTTATTCTACTGTTTTTTTTAGCAATGCCGACAAACATGGTTTATGATGATATTGGTGGTCTGAAGCTTTAGATCGTCGGGGCTGCTCTCATTCGTTCAATTTGCCAGTGATCCTTCCATTCTACTGCTGCTCATTATTATCATATGAAGGAGGTGTTCTTCCGTTACAATACTCCTGACGTGTTTCATGAAATGTCTATGAGCTGGTATGTTGTTCATTCTCTTATTTTTTCTTCTACTTGCAGGCTGATCTATGTTCTCTGTTTGTTGGGTCCTTCGTGTCATTATGAACAAGGTTGGGTCTCTCTTGCTCAGTTTTTGTCTACTAAAAGTGATGTGAGCTGATGTGCTTGTTTGGGCGGTCTCCCTGTGTGTGTGATATTTGTTTGCATATCAACCCTGTGCTTGAAACTTACTTGCATATCATGATATCAAACGAGGATGTGTTCTTGTTTACCTCTTGAATAGACAGATCTTGGTGCATTACTGGTACCGTGCCTCTAGGTGGTCAGCGAGGGTCGCACTTGCGCTATGCTTCCCTCTGGATTCTAGCATGGTGTTCGGGTGCCTAGCTTAGTTCAGTTCTGAGTCGAAAGCAGCGAAATCATATGTTTCTGAATCTTGGATATACCTTACAATGCAGCGGCCCATTCTTGTTGTGCCTGGACTGGCTAGATCGATTAGAGTTTGTCTAATATGCCTTCGGTAATCAGCAGCAACACACGAGATCCTGGAACCTGCATTAGTTATTGTTTGCACAATAATTACTTATTGATATCATTACCAGGCTATCCGAGCCATCAATCCCCGGACACCACTTGGTTTCCTTGCCCATTTATTCATCGGATCTGTACACAATCGACAAGATTGACTTCAGATCTTACATAAGGTTTCATAAAGATAGTTCAGAACCTAAGCTATACAAAGTTTTACAAACGAAATCTACACAAACTCATGGATTTGAAACTGAAAGATATTATGTGATGCATCTCTCCAAAAATCCAGCATAATTATATAGAGGAAACATATATTCCCAGAAATTTACGGTCGCGGTTGAGAGCAACGGCGAGTGTAGAGCAAGCCTGTGGGAGAGTTTTTCTGAAAGCAAGCCCTCAGCTCGCCCCGACAACCTTTCCCTGTCAGCTTCGCTCCCCTCTTCCTCCTCTTTGCTTAGAATTGTTTTATTGTCATTCATATTCTGTATTAAATTCTGATGAGGTTTCTGCTTGTTAGATTAAATTCTAGCCAAGACTAAACTGTAGCCACAAGAAGGCAGGATTCTACTTATTTAGTCTAAAAAAGAGTTTTTGACTTATTTGATTAGATTCTAAGTCAGCTTTTGGGGGGACTTTAGATACAATCTGTTAGTTGAAAAAAATATGTGTTCTTGCGCTTGAGAAATTGCTGCCAGTGTTACTGTATCATATATGAATATGTACAAGGCATCAGAAAGCACAAGTAGCAGGAACAATTAGTTCAGTTTTAATATTATAGTGCTACCCATCCTAAATTGTGTTAAATTAATCTGCTAGACTATGGTGATGACAGAGGGGTACTGTTTTTTTAAATTATTTCTTTGTTCCAATTATAAAGGGCCCTCTGCAAGGATATTTATTTCATCATGTGTAGAAGTTTAGTTGGACAGATATTGTTCGTCAGTTTCTTAGTGCGTGCCTAGCTGTTTCCCCTTTTTACATTGCTTATTTTCTATAGGATTTCTTGAAAGATAATAGCTTGCTTCAACAATTGTAGAACGATCATGGTTTCTTTGCATTCCTGTACTTTTATACGATTAACAATTTCATGGCTATCCTGTGTAAGAAACAGACATCATTGGCATTAGCCAATGCATTTGCGTTAAATGCCCTGTTGGCCGAGTGATGTAGTCCTATTGTGAAGATGCTTATTGTTTCATTTCTGTAATGTAGGAACATGTATAACCTTTCAAGTTCACTGATGTGGTTACCACTACAACACACGTCCCTCTAAGGACCAAGGGTGGGCATGATCTTCTACAAGGTTGTCTGTGACTATTAGTACGGGATCAACTTTGCGGTGTCCCCATCGCTTCAAGTCAAGCTAATAGAGCTAAATGGGTATCCAATTTTAGAAAGCACACTTAAGAAACATGCACACGTGTCTTTAGATCCTATGGAGCATTCCTAATAATGACCATCTATTTAACTATCTTGGATCATTACCATTACAAAATGCAGCATGGCATTCATAATGTTCAGTTATTCATAAATGTGGCATTTAATTATTCTCTTGGCATGATATTTAAGCATGTTGCATATACCAATCTGTTGATAATTCAATTATTGATTCTGATGTACAAACATGCAAAACCATTGCCTGTTTGGATGATGCACATGAGTATGTTTTTGTTAGTTTTCGGTGATGTATGTCGTGAAGCGGGACGGGCGGACGGAGACGGTGCACTTCGACAAGATCACGGTGTGGTTCAAGAAGCTCAGCTATGGGCTCAGCCAGGAGCACCGCGACCCCGTGCTCGGTCTGCGTCAGGGTATACATGGGCGTCACCACCAGCCAGCTCGACGAGCTCGCCGCCGAGACCGCCGCCGCGCTCACGGCCTCCCAGCCTGACTATGCCTCCGTACGTTCCCTCTTTCGATCTGTCTCTCCCCTTCCGGTTCGTTCCATTCCCCCTCATGGCGCCCGTGTTCGTGTGTCCTGGTCTGACGTATGTGCGTGTGTGGTTCTTCTGCAGCTCGCGGCAAGGATTGTTGTGCCCAACCTGCCGCCAAGTGGAAATAGTCTGTGTGGCGCTTGTAAATAGAGAGCATTCTGGTAGAAAGGTACAGGAAAGAATAGGGAAACTTCTGTCATTTTCTTTGGTCTCTGAAAAATAAATGGTGATATGGGCTGATACATTGCTAAATTACATGATACAAACTCACTTCTTTTTTTATTTTTGGTTTACTTTGTTGTGCTACAATGGCTCTCCTAGGAATGTTCTTCCATGCTTTGATGTGCACAATCCAGAAAGTGCATGCATCCAGAAACCAAATAGGATTTTTTATGTGTTATCTTCTCTTAAATCTATAGACCTAAAGTGGTCGGACCCTTCCCTGGACCCTGCGCAAGCGGGAGCTACATGCACCAGGTTGCCCTTTTTATCTTCTCTTAAATCTTGTGCTTGTCCAATAAGAATAAGGTTTGGTGGTATTGCCTTTGTCTGTCACCTGGTAGATTTCAGACTTCAAGCTAGCTGCAGTTATTTCAGGTTCTATGTGCAAATCCTTGGTGTGACATGATTGGTAACTGACCATGAATACGTTGCAATCTGATATGTCTAATTCTTGATTTATGTGGTACCATCGTCTAAAAATTGGTCCTAAAGATACATGACCATGAATACGTTGCAATCTGATATGTCTAATTCTTGATTTATGTGGTACCATCGTCTAAAAATTGGTCCTAAAGATACATGATGTTTTTGTACTAAGTTGAGACAGTTATTTTGGAACGGAGGGAGTATTAGATTATTTTGTTCCTTTTTAATTTGGTTCTAAAATATAGTTTCAGAGTGATCATTTTGCATCAGCCAAGCTTGCCCTTGTTATAAATAATTGTTCTGTTGTCCTCAATTCACTTTCTCGGTTTTTTAATGCTACAAGTATTATTGGTCCAGTTTTTTTTAGTTATTCATCATGCCATTTTTCTTTCTGCCTTTGTAGCTGAAAGATTAGCAAGACTGGCTAAATTCTGAACATGTTCCATGTGAGAGAAATAGCATGTTGATTTCATCTTGAAATAATCATAGCTGAGGGACGAGCTTCGTAACTAAGGGTCATGTGTAGAGCTGAAGGAAGAAGTTGCGAGGCTTGGAACTCTCCTTGTAAAGGGCTCAGGACAGCAGTGAGGACAATGCCTCTTTAGTTGTAATTGTGATACTCCTGATCTGCAAGTAAACACTCCTGTGATACTAAATGTTGGTTGTTAGTACAGAGGTGGTGACATTAGTTGGTTCTCTGGTATTGATTTCATGATTTGTGGTTAATACATGATGTAATACAATCCACACTGCATTATATTTCCAGTTACATCTTTTACTTACTCACTACTAACATTCTTTCTAATTCGCTTCTTACATTCTTTCTAATTCGCTTCTTGCGCCATTGGCGCAACCGGGTCATCTAGTAGGAATAGAAGCAGCTAGTAGTCGTGGGCATCCAAACAAGGAACTGGGCCGACCAGTTTTTCAAATTTCCATATCAAACGTAGTTATTTATGAACTGGTTATTTGTAAAAATTGATGTAAAACGGGTTTTCCTAGAAATCGGCTAAAACCTCATTTTCTATAATCCTATCGCTAATCTTCACTATCCAAACAACGCCTTAGGGCTTTTTGCTACACCTACATAAATTGGTTTACGTAGCTTTACGTGCTGGCTGACTTGGGCTAATCTGATTGGAAGGAAAATTAGACCCAAACCCACACCGTAAAACTCAGGGGTTTAGAGAGGATAGAACATAGGTTTACGTAGGTTGATTACGTAGGTCTAGCATTATTGGGTTGTTTATCACTCTTATCTTTCTAGAAGTATTCCTAAATATGTAATGAGAGATTTGTTGCTAGATCATCTCTTAATTAAAAAAGAACAATCTTTTTTCATTTTCTATCTTCTTCGCCACAACATTCATCTCATGTGGCACTCCTAAGATAATTATATTGGAATGCACCCATTCAATCTGCAGCCCCATGTGAGTTGATTTTCTCTCTTGTAGCTCCATTTGTAACAGGCCGACTGGCCCAGAGACCAACTACAACCCAGAAGTTAAGTGAGGTATTTGAAATATTCTTTTCTTCAACTGTCTGCCAATAATTCTTTCGGCTCAAAATTTGATCAAACTTCGAAATTGCACCTAGCCAAATAGAGAAGTTAAGTGAACTAATATGAAACTACAATCAGAAAGTTAAGCAACACTATGGGCAGCACGTGTAACAAATGTTGGTTCAATAAATCACCCTCAAAGGCCATTAGTATAATAAGAATACATATGGGAACTATACAAACAAATGAACAAATGGAAATTAAAATATAAGCCAGAAAATAGACTCTAGGAGGTGGCTTTGGAGGTTGGTTGCCCGGTCGTCCTGCTACTCAGTCATTTCGTGCTAGTGTTGCCCGCGTCCACCCAACCTTTTGCACGTGCCATGGCAGTATGGCACTGGACTCTGTTCAAGCTTCCAGAAACGCGCTTTTTTTAGCAGGTATGGCTCAGACACTCGCCCTTTCGGTCCGCCCTTACTAGCTAGACATGCATTGGTCGTCTGTGTCGGGCCCGCACCATCAGTTAAGCAATGCTATGGGCAACACGTCTAACGATAGTTCACCTAAATTTTCAGTTTGTGTTAATTGTTTCACTTCTTTGTTGTAGTTGGTCATTTCGCCGTTGGGTGCAGTTGGTCTCTTCAAATAATTAACTTAACTTCCATTTTATGGTTCAAACAGTTCACTTAACTTTCGAACCGCCGACGATTTTTCTAGGCCACTATTCTCCGGCCGTGGCCTCTTCACTTCGCTATGGTTACAATGTGCAGCTGCCCATCCACCAAAGGAAAAGCCTGCATGCCTCTACATAGATAGAACAAGCGGGAAATATTAGGCCGTTCACATGTGTGATATGTTGTGTTACTCCTGAGAAAACTAATCGCGGTCAAAACAACTAAGCAACACGTTCTATCAATGATCTGCAAAGGGTACCAGGTTCTTTCGATAATTATAAATGAACACAAACATGACGGTACCAAGAAGCATATGTATAACCATACTAGAAAAACATACCCATACCATAACCAATGCTATTCGTCCATGTCATATTGCTTTGCATATTCTTACATGATGTCGTCCAGCCAGGGTCTGTGATGGCATGACTACGAGTATTGAAAGTCAGCCCATACCAACCAGCTAGCCCCGACAGGTTACAACAACGGGTGGACTGCATGCCTTGGCTTTACCGTGAAGGCCCCATCGACTTCCTTCACTGGAACAACTGCTAGCAATACTCTTACCACCCCACGACGGGCAGGGCTGTCAGCCGGAGCATCCGAGCACGCCGCACTCAAAAATGGCGGGGCAAACTTACATCAGGCTCATGTTCGCATAGGTCGTAGGCGGAGCACGTGATGGTTAGAATACGATGTGTATGCTAAGCATCCAACGATTGTTCGAGTCGGCCAATCATTGTTCAGCGGAACAACCATTTGTTGGGTTTCCACGTACGACACGACAACGTTAAGTTTCAAAAGCTGGCTAAATGTCTCAGCTAGAAATACATGAATGACCCGTTGGGACCGTGGCGCACAAGCCTATCGCAACCAAGAAGGCAAGCAACCTATGATGACAACAGAAACAAGCACTCTTGGATCCATGGGAGCTCTTTTTTTGTGCCGGTTGCGCCTAGCCATGACGACCGTGCGAGAAAGGTCAAACAAGATGACTTAAAATTATCCTTACATGGGGGTTTCAAGGTGAAGGAGCACACGATTTTCAGCTGTTGAATGACCGCAAAGACGGGCCACCCTTCTTTGATGGTAAATTTACCATCAAGTGTTAGAAATATGCCCTAGAGAAAATAATATTTGTATTATTGTATTTCTATATTCATAATTATAGAGTTTATATTCTATGCTATAACTACTATGATCCTGGAATATGCGATTCAGTGGAAAACTCATATGCATGTGTGGAACAGTAAACGGCTAAATAAAAGGTTCTTACTCAAGTGGCGATGTGGCGGGGCGAGGTTGGTGGAATCCGACGGCTCAAGTGGCGGTGCGGTCGTTGGCTGCATGCCAAATGGCGAGGTGGGGGTTGGCCGGCTCGAAAATTGAGGGGGGTGGCAGCGGTTGTGGGTAGGAGAAAGGTTAGGGTAGGCTAGGGTTCCAAAGTTGGAAGAGGCGGGGATTAAATAGGTAGGGGTCTAGGTTTGGGGGATTTGAGGCTGATTTGGACCCTCCGATCACAATCGGACGGCTACGGGCAGAGGGGGTGTTGGTTGGAGTAAGTGGGTTGTGTAGAGAGGTCATGGCTGAGATGAGAGGGAAGACGAGCGGCCCGACACAAGATTTTAATACCGAAAATGTCTGACGATTAAACCGACAAGGATGCTACACAAGTTTAGCAGTCGGGGCATCAAACGACCTCCTAATGCAACAAAATTTGACGGGCGGTCTACGTACAAAATAACAAGACCACATGTCAGATTTCAACCCATTCCAAGAACATTTTCATTTCCACTTAGAAAATAATTATTAGATGAAATCACGGGCTCGTGCAAGTGTGGTTGGTCTCGGGAACGTCAATAAAAGGCAATAAGAAGAAACGGCAACTACGAAAGGATGCAAGTTTTGAAAAATGACGGCAAAGGAGTGCCAATGCAATGTGAATGATGCGATGATGAATGCAACAGACAGATAATTAACACGGCAATCATGAAAAACATGGAAAGCATCTGGAGCATCGGTCTCGGGCTGTTACACTTTAGTAGTGGTTACGACCTCTTCATAGTGTTCTTGTGTAATCAAGTAGCATAAATTTTTGTTGCATAACACGTTCTCATACAGTCAAAGGGGTTTAAGTGGTGTCACTGAAGTCTTATCGTCCATCCAAAAAAATGTCGGCACTTGGGGAGCAAGAGAGTTCACTTATTTATCAAAAAAAATCACAAGTGGCAGCAAAGGCTTGAACACTTGGGAGTTGCCTCGGTTGGATGTGGTCCGTCAGCAAAGGAAATGGTCATGACAATTTAGTTGAAAGAATGTTTATGTCAATAGGAAGTATTCGAGTGTGCAATGATTGTGCAAGGGGTCGTAATATTGGTTATTTTCAAGCCCAAGTAGTGCAAAGAAAAAGAATGAACCGAATCACTACTCTCCATAGAAGTGATATTCTATTTGTGTTGATCTAGATGATGTAAGGGAAAATATTCTCAATTTCTACAAGTTGTTGTATCACTCACAAGGTTTTAATGAGATGCAAAAAAATTTAGATGTTGTCACTCCTTGGGTCTCGGAACATATGAATGAACTTCTTGAAAAAGTTCCTGCAATCGAGGAGGTGAAGAAAGCATTGTCTGACATGGCACCGTTGTAGGATCGAAATCGAAAGTATGTCTAGAGGGGGGTGATTAGACTACTTGACCAAATAAAAATCTAGCCTTTTCCCAATTTTAAGACTTGGCAGATTTTAGCAACTTAGCACTAGTCAAGCAATCAACCTACACATGCAAGTCTAAGAGTATAGCAGCG